CTGCCTGCACTCCCAGTGAAGCTTTCCACTCGTGTTGTAGCCGTGGATCTGTGCCACATTCCTTTTTATGACTGAATAATATTCCATTGTGTGCATAGACCACAACTTGCTTATCTGTGTACCTGCTGATGGGCATTTAGGGAGTTTCTCCTTTTTAAACATCGTCGATAAAGCTGTTGTGAACATTTATGACAAGGTTTCATGTGGGCATATGTTTTCCATTCCCTTGGGTAGATACCTAGGAGTGAAATTGCTGTGCCATACGGTAATTCTATGACTAAAGCTTCTAGCATTTTTAAAACTGCTTATATGGTGAGGTACAATGGCTCACACCTATAATCCCAGCAGTTTGGTGGGCTGAGGTGGGCAAATCCCTTGAGCCCAGTAGTTCAAGGCCAGCCTGGGCAACATAGTGAGACCCTATCTGTACAAAAAATACAAAAATTAGCCAGGCATGGTGGCGCACACCTGCAGTCCCAGCTACTCAGAAGGCTGAGGCAGGAGGATCGCTTGAGCCTGGGAGGTCAAGGCTGCAGAGAGCCATTATGACACCACTGCACTTCAGCTCAGGTGACAGAGTGAGAATCTGTCTCAAAAAAAAAGAAAAAAAAAAAAACCGTGGCTTATAAATCAGAAAAGGACTTAGTATGCAAATGTTAGAGTCCTCTGCCTTCCCTGATAGTGAAGTCAGCACGAAAGAGAGCCACAGGTCACTGAGCGCATGCAGCCTGTGCAGGGAGTAGGCTAAGGGTTTTACAGTCAAAATTCTGTTTAATAATCCTACCAACACCGTGAGGTAGGTGATACTGTTGTCTCCATTTTACAGATGGAAAAACAGCCCCACAGCTGATGTCAGAGGTGGAATCTAGCCCTCTCTGAGTCCAAAACCTCCACTTTGACCTGGGGTGTTAGAATTCTAAGAAGCTTTGTGGGTGTAAAAATGAGAATGATCATGGCAGTAGATATTGGACACTGAACCTTGCAGCCAATGAGGACATGTGGCTGTGGATCCCCCACAGGGACACTTGCTGGTCTATAAAGTGCATCACGTGACAATACAGAAAGGATAACGCTCTCTGACTCAACTCATGCCCTCCCCAAATGGGATAGTAATGAGAGTTGATTTTGCTATTCTCACCACCAGGATCTAATCAAACATGAGAACAGACCAGATATGGGAAGGACCCAACAGATATTCACAGTCCATGCAGGTGGTTAGTGCTGCCCAGCATTAGGGCACCAATGCCTCCTGCCGGCCTCATCTGCTGCCTGAGTTTTGTCACTCACAGAATAAGAGCTACCTTGCATTTAGAACTTCACTCGTATATTCTGTTGTCCCATCATGTGCTCTGGTTATGACCAGATAATACAGTTCAGTACTTGTAAGATCATTATAAGATGGTCAGTCAGCCGGGCACAGTGGCTCATGCTTGTAATCCCAGCACTTTGGGACACCAAAGCAGGTGGATCACGAGAGCAGGAGTTCGAGACTAGCCTGGCTGATATGGTGAAACCCAGTCTCTACTAAAAATACAAAACTTAGCTGGGTGTGGTGGCATGCACCTGCAGTTCCAGCTTCTCGGGAGGCTGAGGCAGAAGAATCACTTGAACCCAGGAGGCGGAGGTTGCGGTGAGCCGAGATCGTGCCACTGTACTCCAGCCTGGACGACAGAGCAAGACTCCATCTCAAAAAAAAAAAAGAGACAGTCACTTGCCTGAAAATACTTAAATAGGAGTCCAGTGAGTGTGGTGTGATGGGGGAGTGGTCTCCAGGATGCCCTCTGGGTACAGCAGGTCACAGGGCAACTTTCTCTAATAAAGGCAGGATTCAACGCTGCTCATAAGCAAGAACTCCTGACTGTGTTCGGCCACCTCAAATGTATTTGCCCTCTGTGGGTTATTAAATTACATGCATATTTAACTAAAAATGATTATCTCCTCACTAGTTTCAGTGGACATAGTTAGGGGCAGTATTTCACTTCTGTTGTAGTTTTACAACCAAAACTCAAAACATCAGTTTCCATGTTCACGTTGATTCTTCCTCAGAAATACACACCGGGGTGTGTTCCAATCATTTCTCAACCATTTGAGCTTTCGATGTGCTTGTAGGTATGTTTATTTGGTCTTGGGCTGCGTTTTTCACTTAAAAATCAGGATCACATGTCTAATCTCAAAGGGTAGGATAATCCTGGCTGGCATGCTCATTTGGCAAATGTTCGCACTGGTTTAGCATCAACACATGGCTTTTATGGGAGGATTTGCAATTTTATACTTTGCAAAAGACAGCTTTCTGTTGCATCCCCCGTATTGTGAGGAACAAACTAGTTTCTTATTTGAAAAAAAAGAACCTGCCCTTTTATGGGAAAACTAGTTCAGCTCTGTGTATATTATGCCACATGAAAGCAGTTTTGCCTTCATTTGTGGCTGCCTGATTACAAAGACAAGATCTTTAATTAAAATTGGTTTGGTTATGTGTATTTCTTTCAAAGAAAACCATCAAAATAGCATTTGTGACTCATTACCTTCTTAACAGTGATGTTCTCCTTCTTACCTCAGTACTGAGCCTATTTTGATGGAGATGCTGACCTTGAAGGGTCAGGGGACTGTGGCAACAAGGAGCCTTGTCTTTGCCCTCCAGTTGGCTTTCTGGTGCTGTGACTTTGACCCGGGCAGTGAGTTTTTGTCTGATAAATTATTTTGAGGTCATGGAAACCTCTGGGTCTTCCCTGAGTCCAGGAGGGCAGGGCTGAGGCCTCTGCAGGCCAGCTAGCATCCTCTGGGTGGGCCCTGGGCTGAAGCATCAGGGGATGCCCTGGTTCAGCTTGGCTGGAAGGCCAGGGAAGGCCGGAACTGATTTTCTCATTATCCTTAGGGTGGATTTGGGATCACATGGCTTGCGGGAACTCTTCCCAGCCGAGGAACAAGATTGCCTAGATCCGAGGGCTGTCTAACATGTTAGCAAAATTAGTGCATAGCAATATTTTTGAGAATCTGTGGTTGGGCATTTTGTGTTTTTTCTTCTGCCAAAACAAGCTCGCTAACTTCTTTGCTTCTCTGTCTGCTGCAAAGAAAAGCAAAGGAGGGGGGACGCCAAATCATTTGCACATTTCACGTTGACAGAGCCCCGTGCTAGCATGATCCCGGAGGCCGGACGGGAAGCCAGGCTCCTCGGGCGGGGCTTGTAATAACAGGGTGACCCGGGCTCACTTCCCACCTGATCCCAGTGGGAGCTGCTCTTCCTCCTCCTCTCCCGTGAATACAGAGCTTTTAAAAAAGTGACAGAGTAAACTGGAATCTTTGACTTTTCTAAGTGTGAATGGTATTTTTCAGTCTTCCCTCCTCCCCACCTAGGCAAGACCAGCCATATTCCAATTCCTTAGGCAAGTCCTAATGACAACAGCTAAGCTTTAATGAGCACATGCTATGTACTGGGTCCTTGTCTAAGGACCTTCTGCTCACTGATACATGTAACCCTCGTGATAACCTACAGCCGGATTGTTAAGATTGAATCTCAGTTCTGCTGAGCTGTGTGACCCTGCACAGTTACTTAACCTCTCTGTGACTCAGAAAGACACAATGGAGAAAATCGTGTGGCCCACCTCAAAATGTTGTTTTAAGTAAATAAGGCTAAATATGCAATGCTCTCATTAGTAGTGCCGGGTACATGGCTTAGCTGTTACTATTCCATTGTCCTGAAGCAAGGTGATTACCTAAGAGCACACAGTACATTACTGGCAGAGCTGGGCTTCGGGCTTCTGACCACTAGACTGCAGTGCCTTGGGTAGAGGCAAGATGCCATCACGGTGTCGGGGTATGTGCAGAGAAGGGCTCCTTACGCGAGCATTCCACAGTGGCTGCAGGGCATAGCTGCATGCAAGCAAACACAATGCCAAGGCATCTGTGCACGAAAGAAAGAAAATGTCAAATGATGACTGCTCACCACCATCCTCTTGCTCCACCTTCTTAAAGAGAAAGGGTCCTCCCTTTACCTGGCTGGTTCCTGGGTTGGGGTGTGGTGGTGGTGGGGATCTGGAAGGTGGGACAGACAGAGGCTGCATGATGTAACAGCCAGTGTGTGTGACCAGCCGAAGGTCAGTCAGTAGGGCTTGGTTAAATAAATGGTATAAATTTCACACAGCTGCCGCCAAGGTGGAGGAAGCTCTTTGGGGGCTGATAGGGAAGGAGTACCAAGTACATTGCTAGGAGGAAGCAAAAGGGTGTGTATGAAGCACTAACTTCCGTGTCGGAGGAAAAATATATATTCAGACACCCCTGGCTGTACTCAGAGACTTGGTTCCAGGACCCCTGAATATAACAAATCTGTGCATATTCTAGTCCTGCTGCTGGCCCTGTGGAACCCACGATGCCAGCAGTCAGCCCTCTGTGTGCGCACCTCTAAGTACTGTGTATTTCCATCCTTGTTTGGTTAAAAAAAATTCACATGTAAATGGATACGTGGATTCAAACCCATGTTGAACCAGTTCAAACCCACGTTGTTCAGGATCCACTGCAGTTGCATTTTCTGTTATGTGCATAAAGTAATCCCAGAAGAAAAGAAGTGGTTATCCAGGAAGGGGGCAGAGAGAAGGAGATACTAAAAACAGAGTAAATGGAGCACAGAGATGGGAGTGAGCTCTCTCTGTACGTGTGTCTGTGTACTGTATGTACATATATATCAGATATATATGATGTATACATAATTTCATCCATGTATACATTATTGATTAAATATTAATAAAACAGTAATATTTATTAATGTTATATTATTAAATATTTTCTATTTATATATTTGTATAATTATATATTACTACAATGTTATAATAATGCATTATTAATTACATGTTAATTAATAAGATATTCATATTTATTTATTATATTTAATAATGCTATATATTTATTTGTATATTTATTAATGTATATTAATAGTCATATATAAAAATATATTGTTTAATTTATAATTGTATAATGTATATTACTATACATTAATATATAAATGCATATTTGTGTATTAATATGCATCAATTAATGCATATTAATGTATGTTAATAAATTTATGTATATTTGTTAATGTTATGATTAATAAATATACCTGTATATGTACATTAACCTATGTGAATAGGTAAATGTGTATATTCCTAATAACAAAGCCTGAAAATATCATAAAGCAAAATTTTGTAGTAAAAAAGGAGAAACCAAGAAATCAACCATCATAATTGGAGATGCTAAAATCCTGCTCTCAGTAGTTGACCAAAGCAGGCAAAGGAAATCAGTGAAGATACAGAAGACTGGAACAACACTAGCAAGCACCTTGACGTAACAGAACGTATAGAATGCTGACTCAACAATCGTGGAACGCTCACTCTTTGTGAGTGCATGTGAAGCATTCCTCAAGACAGACCACATGCTGGACCACGAAAAGAGTTGTAATCCATTGCAGAAGACTCAATGTCCAGAAGATGTTCCCTGACCACAATGGAATTAAGTTAGAAATCAGCAAGAAAATATCTAGAAAAAAATCCCAAGAGACTTGGAAATTAAGGAACACTCTTCCAAATCATCCATGGGTCACAGGAGAAACCACAGGGGAGCGGTGGATCAAAGAGCAGGGACACTTACGCCTGCAGCAAGAGAAGACTGGCTCAGCCGAGCACGGGAGTCCTTGGATGACGCAGCACACAGTGGCCCCGGCAGTCCAGACAAACCCAGAGCTGCGATGCTGTCTCTCTGGTCGAGGCGGTGGCAGAGGTTCCTGGATTTTCTCTTCTTTGACCTCCCCTCCCAGCACCGATTAGAAGCCCGACTAGAAGCCTTCTAGGACTGCCAGCTGGAGGGAGCCTCATGCCGAGGTAGGCAGGGAAGGTGACCGTTCATCCTGGTCTGGGAATCATTTTGTATGGCTAAAATAGAAGCAGCACTTCTATCCAAGGAGAGGGGCATAATCACCAAATGCACATGAAGCCGCTTAAACTCTGGGGGCCGACAGCCCCCTGGTTTAATTACACAGTGGGGCTGTATTCCACTGAAAGCAATTACATTTTAGATCTTCTCTCATACATACATACAGGCACGTGCACACACACACACACACACACACACGTGCCATGCCCAGCCTCCGGGGCAGCCAGCAGGACTTCCCATCCCCACCCGCCCTCTGTCTCTGAGAGGGGAGTATATATTTAGCCTTTTGCAGGGTGAGGATATTTTTGAATTAGATATTTGTTCACATAGTCCAATACGCCCAAGTCCACAAGGACAGAGTATAAGTTTCTTCCCCTGTGGTCCTTTCTGCACACTACCCAGCTCCCCAGATGCAGCCAGGGTTGTCAATCTCTTGCATATGCTTCTGAAAACCATTCGCACCATAAGCCCATCTATCCCTCCGAGTCCTTATTCCGGAAGGGATATGTGAGCCTTTTGTATCATGTTTGGTAAGTAGACAACCACTTCTCTTCCCGGCAGACAAGTTGGCCTCCTTCAGGAGGGCTCCCTGTTGGAAGTCAAATAAAGGTTCTGTCTCCAAGGAGGGCCTGTTCCAGGTAGCAGTAGCTGGAGCCACAGCCACTGTGCCCAGAGCTGGTTAATGAGTGGGCCTCGAGGTCCCCACCCTCCCCAATCGCAGCCGTGAAAGGCCCCCTTTGTGACAGGGGAGGGCTCCAATGGGGCACAATGCTCTCTTGTCGGAAAGGCCTCCTGGAGCTGTCCAGGAGCAGCTGAGAAGGAAGGGAGCAATTTTGCAGCCGTCCCCACGGCCTGGTGGAATCTGTGGAGACTCACGTTTCCAGGCCCAAGCTGGCAAGTGGGCTCCTTCCTCAGGCAGACCCGAACTCCACCTCAAGAAGGCCAGGGGTGCAGGGCACAGAGCTTCAATGTCACCCTTCTCCAAGACAGGCCAGCCCTGGCGTGGGGGCCACAGGGGAGCAGCACCTGGCCTCGGCCACCCCTCTTGTCTGCCAGAGGAGCAAGGCTCCCAAAAGGGTGTGATGGCCAGAACAAATCTCAAATCTGTAGTTCCAGGCGATTCCATTCTTCCTCTTATTCTAAAACTAAGTGCTTCACACATTTGGGAAGTATTATTAAATACGGGTCTGTCAGATGGTCTGTGGTCAGAGCTAATTTCTTCCAGTTTGCAGAGAGTCTAGTTACCAACCCCTCCAGAGGAGCTGTCAGAATTGCTGTGACTGCAGATGCCACTTGCAAAGATTCTGCTGGCTCCAAGGCCCAGGCCCTGCCTTGGAACAGACCTGTGCCTTTGCAGCATTTCTTTAGAATTCTCTCCAAGATCACAGTTCTCTACTGGTTGGAATTCGAATCCAAAATCCAGGGCAATTGCATGATCACTGAAAACCTAACGGAGTAATTATTTTCATTCACTCCAGCAGGATGAAAGTTTGAGATTTTATGTTGTCTCAGGGTTATCCCAAAGGCAAACATATAATTGATTTGTTTGAAAAAATGGATCTGACATTTTAAACATTCTTTTCACATTTCTCCAAAGCATTTGACAGACACAAATTCTCCCAACATTCCAGAGAAAAGAGATGGGGATTATATTATGCTCTGGATAAGGAGATACATCAGCAAGAGTGGAATGAGGTTTCCATTTGTCAAAAGAGGAATTCAGGGTTGAGGCAAAGGCTCCCGGGTGTGTGTCCTGCTCCCAGCTGTCAGCCCCAAGGCTGACACAGGGACAGATAGTGACATTTGATGGCATGTACTCTGGGATCAAGAGAACAGAATGTAGATAGAGCCAGAGGGCATGCATTCAAATCCTGGCCCTCCCTGTTCTAGCCATGAAAACCTGAGCAAGTTACCCGACATTTGGGGATCTTCGTGTTCTCATCTGTAAAATGGGTGTAATAATGTAATAGTATCTAACTCTATACTTAAAGAAGTTAATACTCTGAAGTGGGTTAAAGGCCCTTGGGGCATAATATTTGTTTATTATTTTATTTTTTTTATTTTTTTCAGGCAGAGTTTCTTGTTGACCAGACTGGAGTACAGTGGTGCGATCTCAGCTCACTGTGACCTCCACTTTTTGGTTTCAAGCAATCCTCCTGTCTCAGCCTCATGAGTAGTTGGGATTACAGGCACCTGTCACCACACCAGCTAATTTTTTTGTATTTTTAGCAGAGAGGGGTTTCACCATGTTAGCCAGGCTGGTCTTGAACTCCTGACCTTGTGATCCGCCCGCCTCAACCTCCCAAAGTGCTGGGATTACAGGTGTGAGCCACTGCGCCCAGCCCTTTGGTGCATAATAAATGCCCAGTAGGTGTTGCTATGCTCATCCTCCCTTCCTGCCCTTCTTTCACCCATGGCAAGGTGCCACTCTCTGGAGGAGGCTGTCCACCTGTAGGCTTGCCAGGTGGCTGAAAGGCCACAAGGCTGTGACTTTTTGTCCCACTGATTAGCTCAGACCTAGAGAACGACAAAAACCTTAAAGAGTCAGTCAGCACCTCAGATCCCTACGTGGTGGTGCTACAAGGCTGGGCCCAACGCAGATACAGGCAGAGCCTGGGCCTGCAGGGAAGAGGGACCCATCAGGCACAGCGTGATCTGACCTTGGCCCCTGCCATGCGCAGGTTTATATCTCAGCGTGGCCAGGCTCTAGTGCCAGTGATTCAATCAAACGCTTGTCTAAATGTTGCTGCCAAGGTGTGTGGTGGATGTCCTTAACCTCTTCTATCAGTCAGCTTTAAGGCAAGCAGATTACCCTTGACAGTGTGGGTGGGCTTCACCCAATCAGGTGGAGGCCTGATAAGCAAAATCCAAGTATTCCTGGGATGGAGGGATTCTGCTTCAAGACTGCAGCATCAGCTTCTGCCTGGGTTTCCAGACTGCTGGCCAGCCCTGTGGGTTTCAGACTTGCCAGCCTCCACAGCCATGAGAACCTGGGTGTGTGTGTGTATGTGTGCGTGTGCGTGTGCGTGTGCGTGTGTGTGTGTATTCTGTTTCTCTGGAAACCCTGATTGCTAATACCACTCCTATGACTAAGCTGGGTGGGAGGTGTGAGGGTAGGTCTTCTCATCACTGTTGGAATGATAAAGTTCTATGCCGCTTCTTGAGTGCTAGCTGGTTGCTGGGCAGAGTGCTAAGGGGTTCCACTGTCTCATTTAAGCCAAATCGTCACCTCCTTTCATTTCTCAAAACTTCCACGTGAGACACTGCTGTATCACAATATTCACGCATTTAAAATTTTAAGGTTGTTCCCAAATTACTTAACCTGGAGAGTTCAGCTGCTGACACTCTCAGCAATAACAGACTTAGTCCAGTGGGTGAAAAATGTTACTTCCTTTTGTTTTGCCATTCATCCGTCAATGGACGCTTGGGTCACCTCCACCTCTGGGCTGTTGTGAACGGTGCTGCTGTGAATATAAGTGTGCAAATATCTCTTCAAGATCCAGTTTCTGTCTTTTTGTTTCTTGCTTTTTTAAGCAATGGGTTATCTCTATCACCCAGGCTGGAATGAAGCGGTGTGATCACAGCCCACTACAGCAATGAACTCCTGGCACAAAAGATCCTCCCTCCATAGCCTCCTGAGTAGGTAAGACTACAGGTGTGAGCCACCAAGCTCTGCCCCATTTTCGGTTCCTTTAGATATACACCCAGAAAAGGTGTATGGGGCATTCGTATTCACATTTGCTCAACAGTTCTAGTGAGGCTGGACCTATTTTCATATCCTTATTGGCCAGTTCACATTATTTTTAGCATAGCAGTTTAGCACGATATCATTGTGTCTGTGTCTGTCTATCCACAATATCACACACTGCTTAGCTGCAGAGATGATGCCTGGCACATTTAGCACATGGTCTGGCCCTTAGCACGTACTCTTACTTGCTGAGTGGCAAATAAGAGATGCTGAGCCTGGTTCCCCAAAAAAAAATTTTTTTTTTTTGCATTTTTAGTAGATATGGGGTTTCACCATGTTGATCAGGCTGGTCTCGAACCCCTGACCTTCTGATCCGCCCACCTCAGCCTCCCAAAGTGCTAGGATTACAGACATGAGTCGCTGCCCCTGGCTTTTTTTTTGCATCGATTGTACACTTTGGTGCTAGGCACTGTAGCAAACATTTCTCTACGAATTCAGGCCACCATAAGATCCAGGGCTTTTCTAGGCAAAGACCTATCAGCTTTTCTCCAGCAATATCCCAGTCAGTGGAAGAGTCAGAGATGCTGAGCCTAGTCCCAGAAAGCCAGACCCCTCCTTCACAGAGAATGTTTGTTATCACCCAGTTATCCATTTCCCTAATATCCGTTATTAGAATTTTCTACCAGGCAAATGGCCATCACCAATAAAGGCTGCATTTCCCAGATTCCCTTGCAGCTATTGTGGTCATATGACCAAATGCTGACCAATGGGGTGTGAGTGGAAGAGGAAGTGATAGGTATAATTTCCGGGTCATGCCCTCAAGGGAAGGGATATACCAGGGGTGGCAGCCCAAACATTGAACAACCAATAGAGTACAGGCAATTAGAATACATGGCACCAGGAGGAGCCTCTCAGCCATGCCAGTGTGCACCAACCTCACCATTAGCCATGGACAGCTCTCTCTTTGGTCAGAAAGAGGACTTGGAGGTGAGCCATGCAGATGGGGACAGCAGCCTATGGTTGGCAGAGGAACCAGAAAGACAGAGATTTTGGATCCCTGGCACAGGGAAGTACCACTCGGCCCTGCACACTGCACACCTGGAGTGCTGTGAATGAGCGAGAGTTAGTTTCCTCTTATTCAGATCTGTGCTTTTCTGGATCTGCACGGTAGCAGCCAAGCCCATACTCCAGACACATCTCCTATTCTCTCCTCTTCTCCTCCTGCACTAGTTTTGCTTTCCAAGAAAAGAAAATGGAAGAATTTCCTACAACAGCTTCTGCCATCTCAGTGCAGCTGCAGGGCATGGAACAGCCATCGCTGCGTGTAGCGGGCTGAATGGTAGCCTTCACTCACTACCCCTCACCAAGAAGAGATGGCCACATCCTAAGCCTGAGCCTGTGCATGAGGTCTTCATTGTAAAAGGAGTCTTTGCACATGTTATCAGTTAGGCATCCCAACATGAGATCACCCTATTTGGGGAGGTTCCTGAGTCCTATGACAGTGCCCTTGTAAGAGAGAGAAGAGGAAGACACAAAGACAGATCGGTGCGAGGCTGCACAAGCCCAGGAGTGCCTGGAGCCACCAGGAGCTGGACGAGGCAGGAAGGAGCCACGCTGGAGACTCCAGAGAAAATAGAGCCCTGCTGAAAGCTTGCTTTCAGGCTCTGGCCCCCAGGACTATGAGAAAATAACTTTCTGTTGTTTTAAGCCACCAAGTTTGTGGTGGGAATTTTCTTTGGCCGCCCCAGGGCACTCTCCCGCACCACGGTGACTATTTTTCTCTGCCACTTCGGACATTTTTGTCTCCTCCTGCAGAGGAGAGTGTGGTTCTATGTAAAAAGCATGGACGAGTAGTCCAGGGTAGCTGCCTGGTGGTCCCACCGTCTTCAGACACCCCTGGGTTCTCAGATTGCATCTACCCCATGAGGTTCAACCCTGAGAACACCAGCCTCACCCTGCCCAGCCACACCCACCCAGCCTCACCTTGCTGCTCTCAGCCTTCCCTTCTGAAGGATTCCCATGACAGGTGCAGGCATGGATTCCTCTCCTTGCGGGTTCTGTGAAACGCCATGACCTGCTGCAGAGGTCTTGACTCCTGCTATGGAAAGGGCAGGTGGTCAGAATGCAGGACTGACTTCTCAAGACACCGGGGCTATTGGGATGACACAGACTCAAATAGCCTGTTTTGGAAATCAAACCCTTTCTCTCTGCATTCCAACCATAACATCCTAATCCTTCCTGGGGTGAACTGCTGCCTCTCAAGGAAATGCAAAAGGAGTCAGACATTCAAGCAACGTGTTAGTTACCAAGCACTTGCAGCTACTGTAGGAAAGACCTGACCACCGTGGCCTAAAAGAAAATAGGGCTCTAGTGTCCCCTGCACATGTGCTCACCAGAGGCCCAAGGAGATGGCTCAGGGATGGAGTGGAAGCTCCGCAGAGCCCTTGGATGGGGATTCTTCATTCCTCTGCCCTGCTGTCCTGTTCTTGAGGGCTGAGGCAGGGGGAGGACCCACTTCCCTCTCATGGGGTGTCCTGCTTGGATGAACTCACATTTGTGGGGTGACTTCAGGCCTATTGCCTCGTTTGTGGATCCTCCGTCTAAACGTCCAGATGGCAAGATCCCAGGCGTCCAGCAACCTGCTCTCATGGCTATTGACTCCTAACAAGAAGAGTAACTGTTCCCTTGGAATTTCCTGAAGCCTTCCCAGTCCTCAGGCCAGGCTGCAGCCTGGGGCTCAGGAGTCAGGGGTGCCTGACTCTCGATTCACCTGTTGGTGTGTGACTTGGGCAAGGCGACTTGGCCTCTTCTCACAGTGAAATGGGGCAAATGTCTCATTCCCACTGAGGGTTAAACATGACGTGCTTGGCACTCCACAGGTGGATGTAAATGTCAGCAGCTGAGGTTGGGGCCCAAGTCCCATGTGTCTCCACTGGCATTGCGTGCTTGGTCCATGAGGACACAGACCCAGGACCTGGGAGCCAGCACTCTGCTAAGTGCTGCGGAGGCAACAACCTCTGGGAACAAGAAAGAATATTCCCTGCCTGCAGGACCCTGACCAGAGGGGCACTGGACACTAAAGAAGCAGGATAACTTCAGTGACAAGTACAGTACCATGCAGAGGGCACAATGAGGAACAGCGAGGGTGGGGAGGGCACCCTGGGGTGGGGACGGCCCCTCTGAGGAAATGGCACTTGAACTGAAGCCCAGGAAGGTGGAAAGGGGAAAAGGAGCCGGCCAAGTACAGGTGGAGATGAAGCCAAGGGCGAGTTCAGCGGGCCAGCCCCCTTTCCAGGCTGCTAAGCCCCCTTCCTCCTCCTTCAGCTGGATGGTGAAGCTCTGGAGTTCTAATCCTATATGTGCTACAGCGGGAAAGTGACTTTACCTCTCCGTACCTCAGTTTCCCATGCAGAATGAGGATGACAATAGTCTGACATGCTGGAACTCTGGAGGAGTAAGTATATAAGCACACAGAGAGTAATGAGAGCAGTGTTCCCAAATGCAGGTGTGCCGGAAACATTGGGGAATTTCAAAGGCACGAGTGCTGTTTGCTTGACACAGAAGGGTTGCAGGTTCCAGCCGGCATGTCCTGAGTCTCCAGGAGGGAAGGGGTCTCAGGAGTGGAATCTTATTCCAAAGGGTCGAGGCTCCTGCCGGCAGCAAAGCTGCCCCTAAACCCAGATTGTACCATGAACCAGTCAGCAGAGAGCCAGCACTGTGGCCCAGGAACTAGCTCATGGGTGTGCATTTCTCGGAAAGGCTCCTACTCCCATCCCTCCAAATAAGCAAAACCCCAAACCCCACAGATGCACACCACACACATCACTGCCTGCAACCTCAGCCCTGTCTCCAAGCTGGTGGGAATGGTTGATCCTTTAAGTGCATTGAACCCTTTCTGTTTGTTTCATGAAAAAAAAATAATTTGTTTGCTTTAGCCACATTGTTGTTTAAAAGAATAAAATAATTAAAACAAGAGAAACTCTATGTAGTCTTGGATTTTTCTCATTATCAGCACATAAAATGTGTGGATGATATCTGTCATTTTTTAACCAACACAATTGAATCAGTGGTATCATTGCCCATTGAGTTATGCTTTATCTTGTATTTAACAAATGTACATACACATCTATATACGCAAATTAGATGCCTAAATCTGTATTCCTTTTCTGTGGCTGCTGTTACAAATGACCACCAACTGGATGTCCCCCAACAGCAGAAACATTTTCTTGTGCAGTTCTGGAGGCCAGAGCTCCAAAAGGTGATGCTGGGCTGGTTTCTTCTAAGATCGCTAAGGGAGAGAGTGTTCCAGGTTCACACTCCCAGGGTTGCAGGCATCCTGGGCATTCTCCACCTTGCAAAGACATTTCTCCAATTTCTGCCTCCACCATCACGTGGCCTGTTTGTGCCTCTATCTGTGCCCTTTCTCTGTGTAAGTCTCTATCATCTTCTAAATTACTTTATTTGCCCATCTTTGTCTAAGCTGGATAAAAATCCAGGACAACAGGCATCTGTTCTGTCCTAGAATGTAACGGTCACCCCAGTTCTGCCGTCCCACCAAGTCCGAGTTAGGTGTCACTAGCCAGTGGCTCTGGTATACTCATAGCAGTTGGTACTCAGGATTCTAAATGGACCCTTCCCTCCTCACTGTTTCCGGGGACTACACTTTGTGAAGCAGAGTGTCAACCATCCATGCAGCAAGCCCCCTTTCCTGACTACTTACCTTTGAGGATATAAACACAGAAGTCAGGTGACCTGGAGGACTCATGGTCAGTTGGCAAGGGGGCTTGGATTTGAACCCAGGCACTGACCTTCAGAGTCTGAGTTTGTATCTATGGTGCTCTAGTGCCTCTACCCTAGTTTTTTTGGGTTTTTTTGTTTTTGTTTTTGTTTTTGAGACAGAGTCTTACCCTGTTACCCAGGCTGGAGTGCAGTGGCACAATTCCAGCTCACTGCAACCTCTGCTTCCCAGGTTCAAGAAATTCTCCTGTCTCAGCCTCCTGAGTACCTGGGACTACAGGTGCATGCCACCATGCCCAGCTAATTTTTGTCATTTTAGTAGAGATGGGGTTCCACTATATTGGCCAGACTAGTCTCAAACTCCCGACCTCATGATCCATCTGCCTCAGCATCCCAAAGGGCTGGGATTACAGGCATGAGCCACAGAGCCCGGCCAAGGGTGAGTTTTGTAGAAGGAAACAGAACACACCTTTCCTTCAATGCTTTTCACTGCTGCACAGGATTCCCTCCTATGCATGCACTGTGGGGCTCTTACCCACTCCCCTGGAAAGGACCACCTAGGTGGCCTCCAGTGCTAGGCTTCCCCAAACCACATGCTGATGAATATCCTTATACATAGCACCTGTGGGGAAAAACCCGAGGTGCACAGGCTCAGAGCAGCAGGTTGCAGGATATTCCCATAATTAACTTTTCGAAGCACAAAGTGTATTCCTCCTGTGACGTCCTCAAGCTGTGCAGGCCCCTACTTCTAAGCTACACAACTGCAAACCAAAAGGTGTCTGAGGAGCTGTCATGGCGATGTGACTGGCTAACGGGACTGTGTACCGAAAAGAAATTTGCAAATGGTTTCATGCTGGACAAATGTGAGGAGCTGTCACCACATCACTCACATTGTTGCTGAACAGCAGGATCTGTCTTTAGGGTGAAGTGTGGGTCATTTCCATGGAGGTGCTGCACCTGCCACAGTCTGGTTTGTGGATACAGAATGCCCCTGGAATCCAACCCACAGGCAGGAGCCTAGGACCCAAATCAAGCCAGCTCCTCTGGCATGTCGGCATGCAGGCAGAGGGAGAGGCTTTGATTCACAATGGCTCAGGCTGAGGCAAGGGAAGCAGGGCTCAGAGCTGACTCTTAAATCCTGGTGGACTCTGAGCACACAACCCGCTCTCCACAAGCAAGCACAGTGCACGTCCTCAGGTAGAATGCAGCCCAGCAATTTACTCCTTGGCACACAGCTCCAAAAGTGGTCCCCAACAATGCTACCCCTACCTCCAGCACATGCCACCACTCCTGCCCAGAGATGGAAAAATTACCGAGCTGGCCTCTAAATGCTCCGGTCAATACAGTGATGGCCTGGGACATCTGAACCCTGGTTTTAAGAAGGCTGGAAGCTTCTACTTCCCTCCTCTTAGAATCCAGCCCTTGTATTGTTAGAAACCTAAGCCACATGGTGAGGACACAAAGAGGTGAGCTGAGGAGTTCTGCTCAAAAGTCCAGCAGAGCTCCCAACAGCAGCCAGCACCACTGATGTCCACATGAGCAAGACACCTTGAACCCTCAGCCCAGTTGAGCCTCTGAATGACTGCAGCCCTGGTACCATCACATGAAACAGAAGAACTACCCAGCAGAGCCCATCCCATGCACCAGATCCTGAGAAAAAAGAAAATGGTTATTGTTTTAAGGACTCAATTTTAGGATGGTCTGTTGTTACACATTAGAGAGAGCTGACACTATCTCCAACAGAAATACATGCAGAAGGTAGCCAAGAGACATCCTAGAGTACGCACAGCAGCACTACTGATGATGCTCTCCAACTCGAAATAACTATGTTTCCCTCAACAGTAAAAGGAATAAACAGGCTGTGTCCAACAACACTGGAATACCACGTGGGGGTGAAAAGGAATAAATGCGGCAATCTGGGCGATTCTCATAAACACAGCACAGAGTGAAAGACGCCAAGCACATTCTGTATGATCCCATTTACACCATGTTCAAAATTAGGCAGGATGCTCTCTGTGGCTCCAAGTCAGAAGGTGAGTGCTGTGAGTAGCACTGACAGGAGGGGGCTTTCGGAGGATGGAAATGGTATGTCTGCAGCAGCACAGTGCCCGTAGAGTGTTTCCTTTGAGAAAGCTCATTGAGCCAATATGTGGACTTCTCTGTATGTATGTGATGTTTCAATAAAAAGTCCACCTTAAAATAGAAATCAAAATTTTTTCCGGTTATCTATGACTGTAACAAATCATGCCAAAACGCAGTGGCTTTAATCAGCAGTCATATTACTTCTCACAGTTCTCGTGGGTCAGGAATTCTGGGAGGAACAAGGCTGGATGGCTCTGGCTCAGGATCTCTCATATACTCAGTCCTCAAGGAGGGCTGGACTGGGGTCATCTGAAGGCTTCTTCCCTGCCCTGTTTGGCACCTGGGCTAGGAATACCCAAACAGCAGAGGCTAGAGTGGCAGAGGCTTCTGGAACTCTCTATTACCTTTCTGTGTTCTCTCACATGGGCTTTCCTACATGGGGGCTTCAGGATAGCCGGACTCCCTACGAGGCAGCTCCCAAGGTGTGCATCCTGAGAAAGGGCCCAAGCAAAAGCTTCTCTGCTCACCTGACCTTGACAGTCACACAGTGTCATTTCTGCCAGTCTAGCCATCCAAAAGATCTCAAAGGCCTGCTCAACTCAAGGGAAGGAGTCCAAGACCTCACCATCCAGAGAAGAAGCATCAAAGAGTTTGCAAACACGGTCTCTAAACCACCAACAGAGTATGTCATTCTCGTTAATACACTTCAATGCTTAACCATCCCTTTTAAAATAAAATGCATGCTTTTCCTGGCTCGACAGACTGGCAGGATCACCACAGCCCTTGCCCACTCTTCCGACCCCTACTTTCCATCGTCTCTGCTTTCTCAGATTTCTGCTCCCCCAATCCCAGCACACTGGCCTCCTCCCAGATCCTGGAAGACACCACATTGCTATGACCCCAGGGCCTCTGCATGTACTATGCCTTCTATCTAGGACATTCTTCTGCACTGTTTCCTGTCTGACTCTTTATGATGCAAGCCTTGGCTCGAATGACACCAGGGCAGGTGTGCTCCTCCTGCCATCACTCTCTACCTCCTTACCTAGTTTACCTCCTTCATTGTACTTAGCTCTATTTGAAACCATCTTTCCTGTGGACTTGCCCATTCATGTTGCTTATTGTCTGCCTCTTCCGCCCAGAATGACAGCTCCTCATTAATCACAAGGGCAATGCCTGTTGAATGAATAGACAATAGATAGATGGATGCACTAATGAAAATTAACGCAGACTACTGCTTCCTTTTGAAGTATAGTGTGTACCTGGTACTGCGCTAGGTACTGGAGATATGAAATGGACGAGGCGCAGGAAGAAACAGCTCACACCCCGGCTAATTTGTAGCCCAGGCTGGGTTGCAGTGGCATGATCACTCCCTTTTTGGATGTGTCTTCTTAGTCTAGAAAGTGAATTTTAAAAAGAACTTCCAGGCTCCCTTGTAACCAAGGGGCTGGAGGTGAATGAGATTCAGCCAATAAGACACAGGCACAAGAGACCTGGGGCCGAGACCAGCCAGTGTCACAGCATGGAAACTCAAGGATTTCTGTGGTAGCATTCCAGCATCCAGGTACCTTGGGGTGCCAAGGAACAAGTGAACGGAGGCTTCCTGACCCTGGATTGCAGCCAGAGTTGTTTGTGTTACTTTTCATTTTATTTTATTTATTATTATTATTTGAGATAAAGTTTCACTCTGCTGCCCAGGCTGGAGTACAGCAGGGTGATCATGGCTCACTGCAGCCTCAATCTCCTGGGCTCAAGCAATCCTCCCACCTCAGTCTCTCAAGTAGCTGGGACTACAGGCACTCACCACCACACCTGGCTAGTCTGACATTTTTTTTTTTTTTTTTTTGTAGAGACAGGGTCTCCCTATGTTGTCCAGGCTGGTCTTGAACTCCTGGGCTTGGTCTCTCAAAGTGCTGGGGTTACATACATAAGCCACTGCACCCGGCTTGCTTGCATTCTTGAACCCAGCAGTTCCAGTGGCGACCTTCTGGCGCTCACTGGTTTACAGCTCTTTGGTGCCAATCCCATGTGGCTCCTAGAGTCATTTCTGGAAGCCCAGGGTAGAACACACTCTGCCAGCCTTTCCAGTGATTTTGGAAGCGCCTCATGCCCTGTATCAAATCCCATCTTCTCAAAACACCTCCAGTGGTGTGTTAGTCACATCACCTGCCACCATCTGAGGTGTCTGAAAAGATGAAGAGGTATGCCTACCGTGTATAGTCACAGCATCTACATCTATATCTACAGATATGTCAGCAAATCCCAAAACATCCTAAGAAGATGAAAAATTCCAGCTCACTACCTAGAAGCTCTCATCACAAACCAGATATTGGATACTTGGAATGTCCGGGGGGCTGCCGTGCTGCTCACCTTTTTACCCAGGTATGCTGCATGAGACTTACTTGGCTGCCTGTCTTACTGACTTCACAGTGCTTTGGACTGAATGTTTGTGTCCCCACAATTCCTATGTTGAAATCCTAACCCCCAATGTGATGGTGTGTGTGGGGGGTGGGGCTTGGCGGAAGGTGATTCCGTCATGAGGGTGGCGTCCTATGATGGGATGAGTGCCCTTATAAAAGGGACCCTGGAGAGCTCTTTCTGCTATGTGAGGACACGGCAAGATGGAAACCCACAGCCAGGAAGAGAACCCAGCAGTGCTGACATCCTGATCCTGGACTTCCAGCCTCCAAATCTGTAAGAAAACAATCGTCTGCAGTTTATAAGCCACTGAGCCAATGGTACTTTGTTTTAGCAGCCCAACTGGAGAAAGACGAACAGCAAACACAAAATTAGGTTTTTCTGCTGCGTGACATGGTTTTACAAAGGACCGTGGTCTATGTCAGTTAGGAAAGCTAGTCCTGGTGCTGTGACCAGCGTGACTGTGCCAACTGGGTAAGCCCCTCACCCGCTCTGGTCTTCAGTTTCTTGCTGTAAATTGAGAGGAGACAAGTCCATATCAAGTTTCTTTGTTGCTTTAAATGTCCAGGATTCCCTCCCCTTCCTCTCAGTGTTTGGGGGGCGTTTTGTTTTTTGTTTTTCCATTTGTCTGTTGTTTCGAGATGGAGTCTTGCTCTGTCACCAGGCTGGAGTGCAGTGGCGCGATCTCAGCTCACTGCAACCTCCGCCTCCTGGGTTCAAGTGATTCTTCTTCCTCAGCCTCCCAAGTAGCTGGGAGTACAAGCACGTGCCACCACACCCGGCTAATTTTTGTATTGTTAGTAGATAAGGGGTTTCACCATGTTGGCCAGGATGGTCTCCATCTCTTGGCCTCGTGATCCATCTGCCTCGGCCTCCCAAAGTGCTGGGATTACAGGCATGCACCACCATGCCCGGCCTTCTTTTGTAATTAAGGAGCTTCCTGTCCCACTCCAAAATCCAGCAACGTTGGGTTTTGGAGAGCTTTCTGTCCCACTCTAAAATCCAGCAACGTTGGCCCCCCACGAGATCAAGACAGATGATTTTAATTTGTTTTCATTATAGAAAAAATAAACTATGTGAAAGGAAAGGAAATCGTATAACCAACCTCCATTTGCCCAGTACTCAGCAACAACCACTTGCCAGTCCAGTTCTGTTCTGGTCCAGTCCTGTTCCACCTCCGTCCCTTCCCACGGACTCCTGCTCTGGTTTTTCAGACGTAAATCCCATCTGTACGTATTTCACTTGGTATCTTTGGAAGACACGTTCAGAGCTGGTTTTGATGGTGACCCAATTGCTGGCAAATCGGTTTGCATCCAACGTTGTCTTTAAATTTGGGTCACCTCTTCACAAATCCTATTTGGAAAAGTGCTCTTATGAGGAACAGACGCTGCAGATGAGTCACAAGCACTAAAGCACAACTACAAACAGGCACGCCCGTCCTTTCTTTTGTTTGGAAAACAGCTGTTAGAACTTCAGGAGTGATTCTAGGGTGCTCTGCAGTCCACTGCTGACCATAATGTGATGTGTAGATTCAGCCATTTAGCTTAACATGGTCCAGTCCGGCCCCAAACCCCTGCGCTACTGTGGGCGCTCCTTCAGCCTGCACACATGCCCTGTATCTCATGTTCAACGTCAGTGGTGGCAATGAGCACACGCCAGGCGCCCTGCAAACTTGGGCTTTGGAATCAAATGCCTGCATGAGACGCAGCTCCACTACCCACTGGTGTACGCCCTTGGGTGAGTCGCAACCTCTCCTCCCCTCCAGGTCCTCACCTGAAGTGCCCTTCATGATGCTGCTTCGGGGATTGTGTGAGATCACAGGCTCAGCACTCTGCCTGGTGCCTGACCGCAGGCAGTGCCTCACAAACATCACAACACTACCTTCCAAACCGAGTGGGGGTTCCCTGCGGCCAGACGCTGGCTGGCTGTGCCCAGTGCCAGGCTCCCTGTGGGTCAGCTGTAAGCGTCTGTGTTAAACCCAGGGAGCAGGCGCAAGTATGATCCCCAAACGGAAAAGGTGGCCTGAGCAAGGCTAATCCTCCTGTATCTCCCGTTATTTCCTCCACCGCTTGATTGAGCCTGACACAAGGAAAGCATTCAATCTCACTCTTGGAGGGGAAGCAGCATAGAGAAAACCTTTCTCACAGCAAGAACTGATTTGCTTAAGAACTGCAATTTTGAGGTCATGAAGGACACAATCAGGGTATTGTACTGGCAGCTCCTCATCGGAGCAGCCAGCTCACCAGACGGTAAACAAGCTTCTAATGAAATAAAACCTTTGGGTGGTAGATTCTCTTGCTGTGACCAACAGGCCAAGTGCTTCCAAGAATATATGTCACATTTGTCATCTCAGATGGGGGACCCTCCCAGCAACAAAACAACCTGAACAGTAGCAAGGAAGCCAGTTCTGAGCAGCAATGCCTGGTTCAGACACAACCCCAGCTTGGTCTAAGCTGGAGCTTTAGGCGCACCTGCGGGTAAGGAGGATGAGCGGAGGCACCCAGGGGTCTGTCCAGGCTGTGGCTGCCTGCAGCCTATCTTCCCCCCTTGGAGTTCCTGGGGAATAAAGGATGCAACCCAATGAAACTCAAGCCCTGAATGCACATTTTTATAGCAATAACCCACACATTTATAATAATTGACCCACAAAAGTTACATCTTGCAGCAACATTTAATAGAAACTCTAGGTTAAATGGCGGATCTACAGAAGTCAACGTGTTGCATTTCCCCTGAACCCCTGCCCCAGCCATGGAACCATCAGAAAAGCCTGGGGGCCAGGCTCACCTTAGCACAAATTCTCCACTGAGATCCCTAATCACCAATCCACGAGCACCAAGGATGCAGAGAGGTAACAAGAGTGGCATCACTCACTAGCTGTGTGCCCCTGGGCTAGTTATTCAACCTCTCTGAACCTCAATTTCCTCACTTGGAAAAGCAGGACAATACTACCTGCCTTGGTGAGGTGTGATGATTAAATGCTTGTGAAGCAACTGGTGTGTGTTTCATGAAGGTGGCAGTTGTGGTGACGAAGGTGACACCCAGAGAGAGACAAGATGATTAAACTGAGAAGTATGGCTCCATCAAGTGCTCAAGGCAGAAGACGTGGTCTCTAAAGAGTTAACAAAGAATCCCTACTTCCCAGAAGAAGAAACAGAGACCCAGAGATGGAGCAGGACATGGCCATGAGCACAAAGCACTGCCACCCAGTGCTTCCCTCTCAGAGACGCAGGCAACTCCAGAAAGGGCCATGGGCACCCCTCTCCCTGCCAGAACTGAAATTCAGAAAGCCACCCAAGACTTGCTGCTGTCTCTGTATTCAGATGGACATGAGGAGGCTGCCCTGAGAAGGTAGTGTCAGGGTACTTGTTGGGGGTTGTGTGTGTGTGGGTCCAGAGGAGGGGGTCTGAAGAATCTGTTCTTGTCCCAGCACAGCCCGCATCTATCTGGCAGGAACTCCCAGAATCTCTAAGCAGGACATATATAGGGGAGGGAAGGAAGGTCTGGTGTCTTGCCCAGCTTGGAAGCCAAGCAAGTTGGTCCTTGGCCAGTGGGGGTAGGGGACATGGCCACTTTCTTCTAGCAAACAACTGTCCTGCCTGGGGGGCCCATTAGCCTTATAAAGAATCTGCCCCCTTGGAGGCGTTGGGCAAACATTTAGACTGGGGACTCCCTCATCTGGTTTCTCCAAATATTTGTAGGTTGCGGGTCACCCGGCCACTTCCTGAGAGGGTAAATCTGGGGATGTCCCTGTCCATACAATCCCCATCCCCCCAGCACTGCCTGGGTGGAGCTGAGCATTGCTGGTATGTCTGGAGGCCTCTGGTTCCAACTGGGGCCACTTCGACATCCAAGATGTTGGCAGGGGGGTGGCAGCAGAAAAAGATCCTGTGTGAGCAACTCATGGTGAGCAATGCTGATCACCAACCAGCAGGATCTCAGCAAATCACAGCAACTCTGAGCAGGTTGCTGGGGCAGGTACTGTCTGGGGTGACAGTCTGGGCTCCCCCTCCTAAACCTGTGGCTGTCCAACCCTGCAGGCAAGTGGGAATCCTGTGCAAGGGAAAAAAGTTACCCGGGCTGGTGGGCACAGCTGGGGATGATCTGAGCTCCACCCAAACTTGAGGCTGTCCAATCCTGGACTCCAAATCACAGCCTCTTACATAACTGGTTTCATTCATTCGTATCAGCAGCCCAAAATCTTATTTTTATCAGCATCATCGTGATTTTGTCATTTAGTCACCATGGACTAAACTTTTCTGTGCCAGACACTGGGCCACAGGCTTCACATTAACATCGGATTTAATTCTCCTAAGCTTTCTGGGAGAAGCCACGGCCTTTCCCTCATTTCACAGAAGAGGTTAGTGAAGTGGAGAGGTTAATTAACCCACCCATGGCAGCCAGAAGTACAGCCTCCCTAGAAGCCAGATGTACTGACTCTACCAAGCTTGAGATAGCTCCACAGCAAGACCCGGCTAGCACAACATCTTGTTACCATCCTGCCAAAGTCTTTCCCACCACAAACCAGGCAAGCCGGCTGCAGGAAGCTCCGAATCTGGGAACTGAGACGGGACACCATCCACAGCCCCTAAGGCTCCACAATCATGCTGTTCCTCTGTCACCGGTGCAGCTCCTTCTTGTGCGCTGAGTGGCACAAAAGGCAGTGCCAGGCCCGTGGCGGGGGGCTCAGGCACAGCCGGAAAGGGCCTGGAAGAGCGGCTGATCCTGCTGGGGCCGCCTAGAAGACTGAGCCTGTACTTAGCTCTCGTGGGAAATAACAGCTCTGGTTTCTGCTAAAAGGATTCATTCCCAGAACACAATAATTTTCATCTCCTCCTAACTACAACCCATATTTTTTGGCTAAATATACGCCATAATGAGCCACTGGCCTGATAGCGTCGTTAAGGAGATATTTGACCTCGGGTTTAATTGCAGGATGGAATAAACGGCTGGGCCGCTCGGAAGGGGTCCTACCAGCTCGCAGGCGAGTTCAGGGCTCAGCATCCGGCATCTGCCGGCCCCAGAGAAAGTGGTGTGGGTGGAGAAAGCAGCTCCCGCAGCGCCAGGGGAGCTGAGATGCGGGAAGGCGCAGGCGCCCTGGAGCAGCCGGGTGCAGTCTATGGCTAGAGCTGCTCCTGGCAAACAACCGGTGTGGCCGGATTAGGGAGCCCCTTACCCCTGGGAAGCGCCCCTTTCCAGACTCGCTCCCTCTTTAGCTTGCCGGCCTTCCTTTCAAAGCACTCAGAGAAAAGGCCAACCCCACCCCCTTGAACGAACGCAGGGCCGGCTACCTGGGCACATGTCTTCCCACCGGCTGGACATATTAAACACAGGTGCGAAGCGTATCTGTGTCTATCCCTCCAGCCAGGCCAAGGCCTAGAGGGAGCGGAGCGGGAATGAGACCCAGCCCTGACACCTGCTGAAGGTTATTCAGAGAATGAAACCCATGCTGGCGGACAAATTACCGCTCACAGTGGAGCATGGCGGCTGGCCCAGCTGGGGGGGGCTCCCACCCCGGGTCTGCAACTCCAGTGCTTCCTTACAGAAAACACCGGCCAGCCGGAGCCTGTGGCCTCCTCCGCCTGGAGGAGAGGGGGCGCATTCAGGCCTAGGGCTGCGCCAGCGTTTAGCGCACCCACCCCTGTCTCTTCTCAGATTTTTCTCTGGGCTGCTCAACGTCAAGTCTACACAACACATCAAGGGAGTGTCAGCGGTAGGCACGGGTTTGACAAATCATACTCCGCTGAAAGAACGGGGTGCCCGAAACTGTGACTTAGGTGCACTTCATTCTGTCTGGGCTGTTCTCATTTGGGAGGGAGATGTGTTAGGGACTTGCTATATCTGATGGAAACTATTATAGTGCTATTCCGAAAAGTGCACCTACACATCTAGGTTTGCACCTTCCACTTCAATATCCTTTGATCGGGAGTTAAAAACGCCGTCCTTAGCCCTCCCCCTGCTTGACACACCCTGTTACCCAAGGCCCTGGAAGCAGCCCCCAGGCTGACCCTTGACTCGGGACAGTAACCTCCCAGTCCCCAACCAAGGGGTCTGCTGGTCTCCTCTGAGGTGGCAGAAGAGAAAGTGGGAGAAAGTCCTCAAAGAAATGCCCATGCAACTCACTCCACACACTGTGAGCATTGTCACTTTGTCAGCCTCGGAGTTGGAAGGAACCAACCTCAGAACAGCTCTCCTTCCAGTGGGGAGAAAGTTTACAGGCAGGACTTTAATTTCGGCTAGTAACTATCTCTATCGTGCATTTGTGAACACAAATTCCTCAATGTCTCCTCTTCCTTGTGAAAGTTTTGTTTCCTGGGATGGACTGGCCTCTTTACCGCTGGGGTGCTAATCCGATT